CTAGTATGGGGGCGAAGTAAGGAAGGTTTAGTCTATTTTAGTTTTAAAAATAACTGCCCTTTTGGATAATAATTACACTTTACTACTAACAAAAATTAGACCGCGCTAAAAGGGTTAATGAAATGCACATTTTTTTAGTGACGCATTTTGTTCTCCACCTCAACTACATGTACATTTTTCACAATGCCTGGTAACAAAGATTGTGCAAATTTCTTTTCTTATTGACTGTGTCCTGCCTCTTGCTGGATAACACTAAAGTGAAGATTTTGTGAATGGTTAAAATATTACAAAAACACCAAGCAACCAAAACTAACGATTTGCGCCAAAAAAGGTAACGAAGGTTTTATAACTTGAAAAAAAATCCGGCGACATCATGAAAGCAGCCCCAAGCCATTCATTGAGTTATTTGGAATAAATAAAGATTTTCAGTAACGTGAGACACCATATTGGCTTCTTGACAAGTTGCAAATTTTCCACTTAATAACACCGAAGTAGATCGATTGGAGAATGTGAGATGGTTCTGCGAGCGACAGTCACGAAGGCTTTAAATTAAGTCCGTTTATGCTGTTTTTGTGAGAACAGATAAAGCTAGTAAATATCATTTTATTTTGTAAGTTGCTAGACTCATGTTTGTTAAGTTCCACTTCGATAAACAATTCTTCCGCTCACTTACTTATAATAAAATAAAAATATGTTTAATGGGCCTATATACTGAGAATGAGTGTAAGTCACACACTACTGTTCACGGTGAACAGAAACAAACAATCATCAATATGCGATTCCATTGTCATACAAGGTACAGAGCTGTTCTTTAGTTTTTGTCTTAAAAAAGCTACCAACAAGGCTTGTCAGAGTGATCACCAGTTTTCATGCTTTGACATATCGTCCATTATAACTTATCATCGTTCCGTTCCGTAGGGGTTACAGCTCAACAAGTACCTCCTAGCAGCGCGAGGGACTGGGTGACTGTGTTTATTCCCTGAAGCCATCACCGCCTGAATGATTTTCTCAACACCTTTAATCTCAACTATCACACTGTCTCTGTCATTGTGATGTAGACCCACGTGCATCGTGTCCGGGTCCGACACAATCAAAGACACGGGGTAAATGAAGGGGTCGACAATGCTCCTCAGCACGGGCTGCGATCTGTAGAGGAAGGAATCATGAAGTTTGATATCTTGACTGAGATACGATATATCAAATGTGTTGACGTTAAAGACCATGATATGGTTGGTGTATCGGACAGCGCCAATCTTTTCAGACTTTCCTTTCCATTGTTCATGAACAAGGCTGACATAATACGGCCAGTGGTAGGGAACAAACTGCGTTGAGCCGCGAATCCATGGCAGGGGTTCATTGCCTGAATGCTGCACCGTATTTCGGGAATTTTTTGTTTCGACAAATTTGCAATTGCCAGATGGTTCACATTCTACGAGAACAGTTGGATCAATAGAATATAAAAACATCATTTTTTCTTTAATAACGATCGGCGACCAGTTTTTCTCCCTGCACTTCAGTCTTTGATTAGGTACTTTTAAACGGCTTATTTCAGCTGTGTGAAGATTAAACAAATACATTGAAACTTTGCTTATCTTACCGGAGCATGTAAAATTGTTCGGTAAAAATTTGTTAAAAATTGCGTACGGAGTACCGCGGTAGCTGAACACCCTTGGATCCTGCGGCCCTCCAGTGTTCTTGATGACGGGTGCAGGAATCCCCAATATTTGTTTCCTGGATATCGGATTAAAGTTAGAGTCCAAACGCTGGTGAACTAAATAATTTGGCTGCTGCATGCCACTTGTGTTGGTAAGGTAATTCTTCTTAACTAGCAACCAAAGGCGGTAAACCAAATCAATGGTGCCGTCCCACCGGGGGGTCATGCCCGGAGAGAGAATGAAATGGTAGCGTACTAGCTCCATGTCCACGTAGCGTTCAAATCCTTCCATCTTGAACTCGTGGACGACCGAAGTCGTGATGACATGCCTGACATCCTCTGTTTTGGTTCCATTCCCAAAAATCCTTCCGCGGAGGGAATAGGTTAGCTCGTAGCTGCTGTTAGTGTTTCTTTTTACTCTGTGCAACAGAGGCAGAGTACTCCTCGCTTTGGATTTTTGCCTAACGCTGTGCAAATTTGCCACGTCACTCAGGTGGAGAAAGAAGAGAGACACTGACGTTAAGAGAAGAATTAAAAAAACATGGCGCGCGCGTAAGGGAAAAAATGAAGCCATGCGGGTCGGAATATGATACATCATGTCGAGTAAGAGTCTTCACTATGATGTGAGTTTGGAAAGTTTGCTTTTAATTTAGGAATGTTTTATAAAATAATCTTCCAAATCTTCAGTTCTATACTGTTGGTAAGTGCTGCAAGACAGTGTTTTCAGAAGGCACTGTTTCGTAGTTCAGTTCGTCTTGTATCTGAAAATTTGAAACAAAACAGTTTAAGTATCTGTAACCTTATCAAAAACGATAATAAAGAGGCAACCCTTTAATTCTGAAGTAGCACATTATGTTAAACAAATAGTGCGTACACTTTCAGTACTGTGACTCCATGATTATGATGTCTTATTGCTATTTTCGATAATAAATGGGACATGCTACTTTAGAGAAACGCCATAGAAAACGGAATTTGCCCTTTCAGATTGTATTCAAACGCGTTCTTCAGATTAGTTTATTTTGGTAAATCCCTTGACACAATACCAGCAGTCACCTTATAATCCACCATTTGGAACATGTGGAATATCGATGCTGTAGACGTCCAGAAGTTACATTCGGACTTTTTTTCAAATAACGCGCACTATTATTACAATGGGTGGTATGAAATTTTTTCAAAAATTTCGTGTTCATTACCATTTTTTGTTAAATGATTAAGATCCACATATACAATATATATGTGGCCACAGGATTACGTGTAGGTCGCTTAGAAGATGATATTCTCATGTCTAACGTTTTTTCGATCTCTCATTAACAATGAATTTAATACAAAGGCTTCAGTAACACTCACCTATGAACTGGCACTATCACTGGTGACAGACAACACCCAGTTCTGGAAAAAAGTCGCGATCCACAAGGACGTCAAACTTGAAAGACGTTAGAGTTATCTGCAAAACGCTTTGGCACAAGTGAAGTGTGTGTTAGTGGCAATAGTGTGTTAGTGAAATATTAGGAAAACCTATGGTGACAGAGAACGCCTACTTGTATGTTATTGTATACAGGTGGATGGGAATGGTGGATAAACACCAACATGGCCTATGTAAAGTTTTAAGCGCTTAATAAAGCTGAGAAATCTACACGAATGTATACAGCTGCTCTATCTCATTAAACCAGCCTGTGTTTTGCTTTCCACGGTTTAATCAGCCGAACATTATTGGTTCACTTACAGACATGCACGTGAACTATTATGGCTGTGCAAAGTCAGTCGAGTGCCACATAACGGTGCACAGGTGGGCAATTGTTAATGCTCCGACGTTTACCAAGCAAGGTCCTTTTAAAAAGTCCATATTACATTTTCATTGGATTCTAATTATGATAATTTCATAAATTTTATATTTATTTTTTAAAAATCAGTATTCAGCTCTGGAGTCACAAAAAGTTATCATAAAAAGTACTATCATTGCCCAAGTTTAACGCCTTATAAACACATTTTGCACACACACACACACACACACACACCATTTTGTTAATTATAAGACAGGTGTTGTAGCAGAGAGGCGGGGGAACCTGCTGATACAGCTGATGTTCCTTTTCGGCTGACATTGCCAATGGCGATGACACACCTGTCCGCTTGTTACAGCTGATCAAATGTTGTCCCACGCGGAGGAGGCAGCAACAGGTTTAATAGAAATGACCACACTGCAGTGGAACTTGCATCTATTAGTCAATTTATCAATTAGTAAACCAATCAATCAACCAATCAATTATATCAACAGCAGTCATTATGCAGTAGCACTAGTAGTAGTAGTACAGTAGTAGTAGAAGTAAAGTGTAGTAGTAGTAGTAGCAATAGCAGTAGCAGTAGCAGTAGCAGTTGCACTAGCAGTAGTAGTTGCACTAGTAGAAAACATTACTCCTATCGAAAACACACACTGCTATCGAAAACATTACTCCACCCTATTTCTATGAATTCTTTAAAAAACTGAATAACTTTTAGTGTTTTAAATAACTCTTAATGTACTTTTAAATATCTTTGGTGTGCCAAATATTTTATTTAATCTTAACGATTGTTATTTATGATTTCATCTTGTTTTATTTGTTTTATTTCACAATTAAAACATTTTTCGTTGTATACAATCCAACAATTTTAGTTGCAAACAGTCATTATTATTATTATTAAAATGCACCCAGTGAAGTTCCTGTCGTACAGATAATGATGTTCGTCGGTGTGTATAAGCTTTTCCTATAAACGAATACCATACTAGCCTCTAGCTCTCCGAAACATAAAATCTTTTTCTTGTTCTACTAATCTTTTACAGGTTTATTTAGTTCATCTGTGCGATTTCTGTATTTTGTACTCAAGACCCAATCCACGTCAAATGTACAATTTATTTCAATGCATATCCCACAGCCTGCAAAGAATAGTTCACTAAGTTGTTCTGTTTGTTATATCAACATATTCATAAATGAATAACAATACATCAGTTTTTTCAAGTCTTTTTAATGACAGTTGATACCAGAAAAAAACTCTCCGCTGAAGAAAACGACGATTACTTGTCTCGAGTTCTCCATTAGATTTATATTTTAAAAAACAAAACAATGAGACCTTTATGTATCAAAGACGTTATTTGCCTACAAATTTCATCACTTTTCTTCGAATCTCACTGTGAACAAATTTATGGGTGCTTTCCCAGAGATTTAGATCGATCTAAAGATTAAGATTTAGATCACCCTAACTCCCTGGGGGTTCACGCTAAATTGCAGTCAGCCGAGCGGGCACCATAGTTAATTACCCCCTTACAGCTTTGAGTAGGCGGGACAGACGCTTAAGCCGACCAAGCTGACAGTAATCTTGTGAGACTCCCCACAGGGATAGATCGATCTAAAAATCTATGGAAATGGGGTGTAAGACTCAACAACCCGTTTTAGAGTTCTAAGTTTCTAGTTTTTAGACATTTTCGTAATGTCATAGGGACTGACGCTTTTGCCATAATGAGAAATTTGGGGACGTTTCTTTTTCTGCAACAAAAAAATGTAATATATAGTACATGCCTTCAAACACCTAAATCAGTTAGCAACGTAAAATATGTGAGATTAACTGAGGGTTCATTTAACATGATTGTCACTAGTTTATGCATAAACAGAGCAACTATCCTGGGAAAATGAACTTTAAATTTTAAACCCAAGCACAAGGGAACAAGTAACTACAATCAAACATAAAAAAAACTGACAGAAACTACAGGCATATAACATTTGCTACCAGATATACCGGTACATAGTCTACATGAAAGGATTCATGGCCGCTAGATATTTCCTGGCGGCTCGAGGAGCGGGACGACCCCTCTCATCAGCTAGCCGTATTACCGTGTTGAGAACCTCTTCCACGCCGGATATCTCCATGACAACGCTGTCCCTGTCGTTATGATGCAAGCCCACGTGCAGCGTGTCCGGGTCGCGAACCAGAAGAGAGACGGGATAGAGGAACGGGTAGTAAATGTGGCGATACACGGGAACCGAGCTCCGTAGGAAGTCGTCTCTCAGTTGGATGTCCTTGCTCATAAACGTGATCTCGTAAGACTCGGCGTTAAACAGCAACATATGGTTGGTGTACTTCAAAGGCGATTTCGGAGAGACATTGGTCTTGGTCCACTTTGCGTGCACGATGGCGACATAGTATGGCCACTTATAAGGGACAAATTGAGTAGAACCTCTAATCAAAGGAAGTACTTGATGGCCCGCATTTACCTTAGAAATGCTATTTGACGTTTGCCGAAACATACATTCCCCGTTGGTTTTACAGTGGAGAAGCACCGTGGGTTCAAGGGAGTAAATAAAGAACAGTTTGTCGTCCTTGATCAAAGGTGACCAGTTTTTCTCTCTGCAGCGAAACTCGCCGTTCATCGCTCGAATTCGGCGAATCTGATGTGTGTCCAGATTATATGTGTACAAGGCGACATTGGTGATCTTGTGCTCGCAGGTTCTGTTAGTGGGTAAAAATTTATTAAAAATCACCCAAGGACTACCTGCGTAGTGATACACTCTCGGATCTTGTGGTCCTCCATATGTCTGTATTATTGGTGCTGGGATGCCAAGTATTCTCGGGTTGGTTTTCGGCGTGTAATTTGTGTGCAGCCTTTGGTGAACAAGGTAGTTTTTGTTAAGAACACTTTGCATTTGGGCTAGTTTGTTGTCTTTAGTCTTTACCCATACTCTGTATACGAGGTCGATACTGTGGCCGTTCGCAGACGACATACCTGGTGACATTACAAAGAACTTATCCACCAGTTCGGTATCGAAGAAGGATTCCACTTCTTCGCTGCTAAATTTATGGACAACTGAGGTTGTTATGTTTGTCGTTACGTCAATGAATTTCTCGCCTGTTTTAAACACTCTCCCATGGAGCGTGTATCTCTTATAATATTCCTTGGTTAAAGACCGCTTCAGTCTTAGGTGGTCGATTTTTGAATGCTCGGGTATTTTGGATCCTTCTTTACAGACAGCAAAATATCCGCTCCCCTCGTTCGTAGTTCAGTTGATAAACAACAATTAAAGTACAGATGGAAATTAAACAGAAGATATGTGCATTCCGTCGTATCCATCGTCTCATTCGCAACATGCCTTCGGCAGAACAGCAGTTTGATCCAGAGTTTGGAGAGGATATACTCCTGAAATTAAAACATTAAAAACATGCATGATAACCGTTAGGCCTTAATGTAGCGAAAACTAAAATTTTATGGCGATTATCGACATTTATTTCACAAAGGTAAATCATATCCAAACCCGTTCAATAACTTACTCTCCATAAATCAGTTTTTAAGTTTCTAGTCTTTGTGTCTCTCTTGCAGCGGAGGTACATGTAGATGCTTGTGACTTCACTTAAAGCAGTAAAAAATCAAAACTTAGAAATGCGCGTGTACTAAAAAAAGTGCCTGTACTCTCTAGATCACTGCTTGAGAGTCGCCACGTTTTTCTTTTTTCTGAAGTTAAAGTATATATTTGGTAGTAAAATATTTCGTATTTTTAAATTCTTTACAATGCATAAATAATTCAACTTACACCATATTTTCCTCCTCTACCAACAAATGTTATTATTGTAAAATCGGGTCATAAACTGCCATACCTTCGTCGGTAACGTAATAGCCTATAACAGGTCTCAGCAATTAAATAGTAAAAGACAATTGAGCCAGTGCACCTTTGTGTATAAAGCTGCCCACAGCTTTCCACCTAAAATGGCTGTATAAACAACCACAAGTAGTACAGGATCGTAGCCGTTGTTTATTTTACTTATTTACTTATTTTACTTAAAGGCAGCGGGGCAAGTGTCAGTATACGTACAGGTGATTTATGAGCGCGCACGCCTGTGTGGACTTAGCTGCTAGGGTTATTGGCCTGTAGACGCTGCGTAAATATAGAAGAAAGTAATAAGGGTATGACGTATTTGGACCTTTACGAAGTCTTGATAGATAGAATTGGAATTAATTGTGTAGATTTGTCTTGTTAATGGATATAGAATGTGACCCTGTCCCGCAGATTTTCCTCTGCGTGTTTTTGGCGAAAAGCTGGGTGTGTATCATCAAGGCAGCTAATTCAGAACCCAGGCCTACCCAGCTACCAGACTCGGCAACTTAGGATCCTGAATTAATCGGTATATCGGACTACACTACCCATTTTCAAGGTGTGTGTCAGATCGCATTTCGGAGTATCATACCCCAGAACAAATTTTGTAGGACGACCGCGTGCTCATCCACGCTCGGCTGTCACCTTGATTGGATAGTAAACGATTGTCGTAAAATCGCTATATGATTTTAAAACCGGCTGCATAAACTTGAAAAACACCTAGAACAACCTTAGACTGTGCTCTTACTTTAGAGTACTCTATTTCATTGTCTCTATGGGGGTATATGGGAACTTAACGACATTCGGTTTGAATGCTTTAACCACTTTTGATAGGGCTTTTTTGCATTGTATTAGATTAATGTGGCAGTCTAAGGTTGTTCTAGGTGGTTTTCAATTTTATGCACCTGTTTTTAAAATCATATACCGATTTTACGACACTAGTTTACTATCCAATCAAGGTGACAGCCGAGCATGGGCTCATCCTGTCGGTGTTCTGACCGATACTCCGAAATGCGATCTGACACACACCTTGAAAACGGGTAGTCTGGTCCGATATACCGGTTAATTCAGGATCCTTATGTGCCAAGTCTGGTAGTTGGGTAGGCCTGGAACATCATGTAGTCCATATAGGCCTACTCTGAAGTATGAGCACCCACAACAAGGGCGATCTCGAACACTTTTCACTTTTCAGCCCAGGAAGTGCACAGGGATTGGCACACTTATCATCCGTAAATTGTGGAAAGGCGCTGCTGGTGGTAGCGGTGGTGGTAGCGTAGTGGTGGTGGTGGTGGGGGGGGGGGGGAGGGAGGGGGCGCTGGGTAGTCGCCCTTCTAATCGGACCCGCTTTTGAAACTTTAACATTTTCGGCCCCTCGTCCATTGTTTCATAAGAGGTTATTTCGTGAGTTTCGTGTTATGTTCTACATTATCTTCTCCCATCCTCGAAAAATATGTTAACACCACATACATGCATGCTGCAGCATTGTCTGATTAACATAACAGATGTATACATTTTCACATGTACACCGATGACATCAATTCAAGTAAGGAACTAAAATGTTTATGCAGCCGATGTGGCATAGATAATATACCTTTACTTTTGAACACACACGTATATTAATATTTCAGAGACTTCAAATAACCCGGTCTGCAGCAGCTGGTATTTCTTTCCATTGCTGCATTCAGTATCCGTATTCCGCCATAAGCTTTCAAAACACGGTCTGCGTACATGGAATTTTAATGTGTATTTATTAGACAATCATATGCCTGGAAATGTTTGCTAATCACCAGGCCCTGCGCGGTATAACTAACGTGTCACTGAGTTGACAGCGTGTGAAGTCAAGGCTTGCTTACGTGTGCAGTGCTCTTTTCAGTCGGTGCTTCGTTTCAGCGGTGGCTAGGTTTTGGAGGGATCTGGACTTTCTTAGAAGGTAAGCAAAAAATCGTTCAGTAAATTTACTAGAATAGACTGATAATATGATGAGGTGTTTCATGTAATCAATCGCCGAATCTTAGTTTGTGGGTATCCGATCAGAAGTAACGTAAGCATAGTGATAAGTAATGTAAAAAAACTGAAATCTCTTCATCTGTGTGTGTCTGTCCGAAAGGACAAGGTTGAACAAGGAACTTACTGAGCGGTTCGACAGTTTAGGCAGGTTATTGCATATTTTGTAATTGATTATATAACGTATGATATTTTCTTTTTAAAAAATAAAAGATCTTAATTGATTCACAAAAGTGAAACATGTAAGAATCTTGCCAGTAAAAAGAAATGGGAAAATGCAAAGGCAAATCATAAAAACATTTCTTACATTTGAAAAAAAGATTATTAACATTTGGCTTTATTGGAGTAGGGACCACCCCCAGTAAAAACACATTTAGTGGTGCATCCCGGTTCCAGTTCACCTTGCTTACGCTGTCCATCACGGGATTGTCAATTACTGGGTTCGAAATCGACAGTTGTAGCACAGAAATAACGGTATGAGTAGTCTTCAGTCGCCGTTAATATGGCTGTCTTAATACATTACTACAAGTTAGTACAACGACCAGTATGAAGTAGGAGGATATCCAAGAGATATTACCATAAGTAACTTTTTAATAAGCTCTTAAAATGGTCATTAAGCTGGACCCTATAAAAACTGCACGTTGATATATGGCAAACTTATCATTTTACTGCAATATGTGTGGGTTTTTGTTTAAATTATTTAGTAGCTGAAGATGCAGTTTAAACTTAATTATAGATGTATACGTACATCATTTATTTATGGCATATCGATTTGGTTCCCACATAATTATGTTCAAACTCATCTTCATATATCAAACGGAATCAAGTATGTTGATCCATATACTAATGACACTCTGTTTAAGAATGAATAATTGAAAAATTTGTTCAAAAGAGCAAAGGTCGAGTCTTAAAATCTACGGTACTCCGTGTGCGTGTAGGCAAATATTTTCAGCATGAGATTGTGAAATATCCACCCTTTCCAATAATAATAATGATTATTATAAATCGCGACTGTTTCTGTCTGCATTTGGTATACTTGTGTTAAAAGCTGAGAGTATATGCTGCCCTAAGCATGTTTATAATTACACTAAAATTAGGCCATTGATCAAGCACATTATATTTCTGGCATAAATGACGTCACATACTACATGTACATCAGGATTATTTGAAAGGGAGGGGCGGTCCTCTGGCATGGGGTTGGGGCCCGATGAAGGGCCCCGAAAAAAATTGGTATGTTAGAGGGCGAGTGGTGCCATTTGATGCGGTTTAGAACTATAATTCAGCTAGTCAAAATTCTAATTTCAAGAGTGGACCATTGGTGTGAGTTTTTAGAAATCGAAAGTGGGGTCAGGACCACCCTGACCCCTCCCCCCCTAAATCCACCACTGTCATTGTGTGAATGAAATGCCCCAGTACATTGTACGTCATGAATCTTTGCCTTCCCATGTATGACATGCATGATTAAACGCTGGTGAAGTGGACATCGTGTCTCTCTTTGCTTTGATTTTAGCAATGGTATGATCTATATTTACAGGTACAAATGGCGGACAAGGACCACAATAAGAAAAGTCTACCAACACGCTGTATAGGCGCTGTGGGCGAGTTGAAGTTCACCCGGAAGTACGCCCGTCAGATGCGCACAGCCTCCACCATTGGAGCGGTAACACTGTTTATCCTCGTTATCTATCTATACACGACATCTGATAATCCAGTTGCAGTCGAAACCAAGTCAGTATCGGACGAGACTCTTCAGCTTCGGAAGTCCTTTTGGTCAAAATTAAACCTCTTTAGTTCGAAACATGAAGAGGAAGGTGAAGATGACATCCCCGAACCCAAAGAAATTGAAGATATCATACCGACGCCCATGCCAGGCCAACCGGATATAATGATCACCGGACCTCCCCGCTCGGGCACGACCGTTATAGGAGGGGTGGTTGAACTAGCCAAGGAAACGCGCACCATCCACGAGCCAATGAACCTGGACGCTTACAGGGACCCGTGTAATCTGGGTAAAAAGCCTCGTGTATACAGACAACTCGACATTGACCTGGACGTGGACTTAAACGCATGGAAAGATTATTTCAATAGGTTTTTTGTCAACTGTAGAAATGTCACAGAAGGTCCTAAACCTAGACTCGTTTTGAAGGACCCAATTGCTTTGAAATATGCTGAATGGCTGGGAAACAGGTACGGGCTTTTGATAGTGGTCAAGGTCAGACATCCGGGTGCTTTGCTTGGAAGTGACTGCGCGCGTGCTTCAAGATGGTCCACCTACGTCTGCACAGACGACATTGTTGATCGATACATACAAATGAGGCACTTTCAGATGCAGCTTCTAACAGAGTTTTACACAAAGTATAAGAATAGCCCAAACTGGTATTTCATGCGCCACGAAGCATTTTGCTTGACACCGGTGGAAGAAACGGGGCGATTGTTTGAATTTCTCAAGCTGGCCTACACGGATGAAATAAAGGCGGAAGTAACAAAAATGACAGCTGCAGACAATCCTCAAAATTCCGCCAAGTACAAAGAAATTTATCTAGACGCCAAAAGCCAAATAGATAACTGGAAACAGAGACTGACACCATCTCAAATTTTACGAATAAAGAATGAAACGCAGTATTATTGGAGAGCTTTAGAATACAGTGAAACAACTTGGTAATATGTGTATATGTCAGACAATGTTTTTTTTTCTATCAGTGTGTTTCTATCGTGGTGTAATGTCGTCGGAATCTAGAGGGTTTATATGTGATTAAACAAAACGGTAGACTGTATACAGTGCATGAAGATACTTTCAGATTCGTAAAAATATATATGGTTAAATTTTACAACCTGTCAGCTGCAGATATATGTGCCTAAAGTTATCGTTTTGAACACGGGTAAACGTACAGGCGACGAATGCATTTCCGTTACTGTCGTCGATCACGCAGGCTGAATGTATGTACAATAACTGCATGTAGCAATTATATCTCAATAAATATCAGTTGGACGTCTCAAACAATGATATGCCTACGGTTTATTGTACATTCTGATAACATACTGTATTTTAATCTTTTAGTGTCTTTCTCTATTAATTACATAAAAAGCAATGTGTTTCTTAAGATTCTTAACGTGTTTTTACGTATGAAGCGTAACGTTTTGGGCTTCCCCACAAGGGTATGGGTCACTGAATTGTTAATGTGATAATATGCTTTCTGAGGAAGGAACACGTTAAGATATTCTGGAAACGATTCACCTTTATATTATCACAGGGGCGGATCCAGAGATATTTTCTGACAGTCTTCCATATTATATTTGTTGATCCATCCTCCATTTTTTGACCGTCTTCCGACAGAAAAAATTAGATACCCGTCAATGTAAACTTGAAAATCTGGAAGACCCAGAAGACGGCCTAATTCCGCCCCTGTTATCATTGCACAAGAGACATTGGAATACCTTTTTGAACTTATCAACTTTATCCAGAATTTCAATCAGTTTGTATTTAAATGTTTGAAAATCTTTGAGAACCTAGGAAATCCTTTTGGTGTGAAGTGGTCGAATTGGCTCTCCCTGGATAGCTTTATGATATTCACATTTCATACTCCTTTAGACCTTTTGCAGCTAGGTGACGAGACAATTACTTTTTTAATTGATCTTGCTGTGCAGAATTATTTTGTTTACTGGAGAGCAGGCTCTTCAATAAGCAAAAGTAGTTAAAATCTAGTCATCTGGCAGCAAAAGACTTATTTCCCATTGAGACTGAAACAAATGCCGAAAGACAGACGAACACCAATAGCTTCCACAGTGCATATTGTGGTACTTTCAGTTGTAGTTTCCGCCTAATAAAGACTTCAGTATCATAATGGACACTCACCTGCATATGATAAGATCTCCGCGGTTTAGTATTTATCCCATTTAGCGGTACAAATTTTTTCACTGCTGTCATTTGACCGTCTGATTTTCCTAGAGATCACTGACTGACGTGGGGGTCGAAATACCATCAGGTGTTGAACCGCCGTCTGGATGACACTCCCTGACCAATGTCACGCAATCGTTGTCTAGAAGATTCGGACGAGTGTCGGTTATTTTTCTAAAGTAAGAATTGTATACCATCACTGTATTCAATAATAAAGACGTGGTTATAACTGGATGCAGCGGCGATTAAATTCGGCCCACCATGTGACCGTATTATGACTGCAAGCCATCTTAGCAGTGAACGGTGGAGACCGACGTCACATGCTTTCGACCAGTGTATTCAGTATCACCTTAGGCTGAAAACAATGTTAAAACAAGGGGAATCTGTCACGGCGTGTATGAATCATGGTAGATAAAGGAAATAAATAATGTCAGAAATTGTGTAAAAGGACTCCTGTTGAGTCATCGAATGGTCAACACGTGAGCATCGTAATGCTTGACCGTTGCAACGTCTCTGTTGTTTCATGCGTCTCGTGCCAAACGTCTGTTTAAGGAGCCAATGCTATAAAGACATAAATAACGTTTTTCGTCATACCCCCCTACTGGACTACGTTGCACGTGCATTACAGTGCTTAACAAGCAGCCATGAGTACATCATGGGAAAAGCTTTATATTCGAGTTTTGTTTAGGTCTTATATGGCTCGTGCAACGCCCTTATGATTAAAGACCTGCTAGAGGAAACATAGTTCATAAGTTAGGTGCAATTCAAATTTACCGAAATGTGGCAGGAAATCTGCAGGAGTCAGACTGACTGTTGATTTGTAAGTGGATGTCTTTTGGGCAGACGCGTTTTTTCTTTTTTTACAAAAGTCATACAAAAATGAGGATCCTGTTTATTTCCAGAACAGGAGCCCTAACCTTTATAGCACTGTTTTTTTATACATTTGCATGGATTAAATTAAGCAACGATAAAGTCAAAAACAAAGTGGTTTCAGAAGAGAAATTTCACCTTCGGCGATACTACTGGGAACGACTTGACTCTTACAGCCACAGCTACAAAATGTCGAACACTCTTGACATCCCAGAACCCATCGAATTTGAAGATGTCATACCACCACCCATACCCGGTCGCCCTGATATTTTGGTCACAGGTCCTCCGCGTTCGGGAACAAGCATTATAGGTCACATCCTCTCTCGGGCAACGGATACACGTCAGATTTACGAACCGATGAATTTGGGCGCGCGTGAAGACGTTTGCGGTGTCGGTAAGAAGCCGAATGTCTACCGGCAACTTGACATAAATGTTGATATCGACTTGCACGGTTGGGAGCACTATTACAACCGCTTGTTTCTGGATTGCAGGAAGCTCACGCACGGTTCCCATCGCAGGCTGATTTTAAAGGATCCCATAGCTCTGAAATACGCAGACTGGCTGGGAGGAAGGTACGGACTGTTGGTACTGGCCAAAGTCCGACATCCGGGTGCTTTGGTAGCAAGCGACTGTAGGCGTATGTTGAATTGGTCTGCGTCACCTTGTACCGACGAGTTAATTGAACGAGTCATGCACCAGAGACATTATCAACTGAAGCTGCTTGTACAGCTCTACAGAACATATGGAAATAATCCAAAATGGTTGTTTATGCGCCACGAAACCTTCTGCAGGTCGCCCGTGACGGTAGTTAAACAGTTGTTTAGCTTCTTAAAGCTCGAGTACCACCCTGGTATAGTAAGTCATGTGTTGAAGATGACGGTGACAGGCAGTTCCAAGCCCAGCACAGGTTACAAAAAGCTTGTATTGAATGCCAGAAGCCAGATAAATAACTGGAAGTCTTATCTCACAAAGGCCCAAAGAAGTCTGCTGAAGAACAGTACGGAATATTACTGGAAGACTTTCGGTTACACGGATTCTAGTTGGTAGCTTAAATTTACTTTAAAGCTATCATCATAAAGCTGCTATTGGTAACACTCCATGTAATTACTTTTTAATACCCTGAAAAGTGTGATAAAAGTAGAGATCTACTTATAATATGGCTACTACGAGATAAAGATTTGAAAAAAAAACACCTGTAGTACACGTACACTGACAGTAACTTTTAGTATCAAGGAACCTTACAGTTCCTCGTGGCTTTTTATTGCTTACAATATTTTACAAAATATCAGATTTAATGTACACTCTGTATCGGCTGTATATGGAAAATAAAACTTGGTAAGCTTTAACACGGTCAAATATACCAAGGTTGGTGTAGCGTGAGTCACCTTTCCATTTGATCCGTATAGGCTAGGGTTAGCATGACGTGCATGTGCGTGTGTCAAATCTTGGACAAGACTTACATGTACCTGTGTCTTGATCCGGACTATGCATTTCAGCGTACGTTCAGTCATGTGATACCGGACACATTAAGCCTAATTACGATATATTTCTACTTTGTAAGGAGCCACAAACATGCAACCATATGAAGAAAGTTGCGAGAAAACCAGTGGGAATCAAACTGTTTTAACACTGCGTTATTTGCGTTGCATAAGTTTTTGTCGTTGCAACAGAATGTGCACATAGATGGCGCTGAGGGGCAGTTCCCTCCAAAATTGATCTTCTCCAGTTTCTGGCACTCACCAAGGTTGATGCAGCCCTAGATTAAATAAATAAAAATGGAAATGAAATCATCAATAGATAAGTAAGAAATAAGCTACTATTTCGGTTGACGCTTTAATATTTCTAATAATCGTAACAATTAACATCCGTCACATCTGCACGTACATGTAGGTACATGTATATGTAGGTGCCTAATTACATTAATTCCATAAAATATGGATTATTTACGAGCGTCATCTGATACGTTTGTGCTTATAATTGAACCTTGCGACTGAGGTTTGAAATCTACGAAAATCACTCTGTTTTATTTATTTATTTTTTTAATTTCTACTTACACAATTTAAGTTGATCTCTTTTTCTTCACGTCTCTCTCTCTCTCTCTCTCTCTCTCTCTCTCTCCCCCCCCTCTCTCTCTCTCTCTCTCTCTCTCTCGTAACAGTCCTAGCCTTCACACACATGCACACACTGTTACAATGTACATACCAGTACACCCCTACCTTATAATATTTCTTATGGAAAGATTCCGACCTCATCATCCTGGTGTAGCATGCGTTCTCATGGACTCCAGTACATTCCATACTTGAATTATTACAAGCCTCGTTACTGAAGTTCCAGTCGCAGTTGTGACAACGAATTCCCCCGCGCACGCCTGAAGACCATGATATTATATTAATCCAGGAGCTGTACGTAGCAGTCACATATTTTCTTTTTGGTTTTCCCCAAAGGAGGCTGGTTAATTCCATAAGGATATTTACACATTGTTTTCATTTTGTAATACATTATAAGTTTCGCTTTTTTCTGTTATTTCTTCTACACAAAACAACGCTTTGTTTATCTGTACTTTACTTAAATTCTATATCATCAAAACACATTCATCCGTGCTGACGGATTCAGAATTTCAAAGGGTGGGGGGGAGGTCTGTGAACTATGTCACTGAAAAATAAAAAAAAGCTTAGGACAATTTATTCAACGGTACTTACAGGCACGTCTAATGACGTTGTCTTTAATTTTATTAGGGGTGGGTGGGGTGGGTCAACCCGACCACCCCTAACCTCTTCCAGGGCCACAGATTGATTTTTCACTACATCTTGACGGGCATGTCTACGGCTAATTCAGGGCACAACACAAACGTGGACATAAATTACCAGTCAAAAAGTTATTAATCCGCGCTTAACCTTACAATTTTTATTAATCTGTTACATGTACGCACAGTTTCTCATGCTGTATTTTACAATGCAAAGCGTACAGTATTCTTACCTTGCGCCAATAATATCCACGTAAATATAACCACCAGAAGGCACAGTGGACCTCGTTTAGATTGTTGATAACCTCGCAACATCCTGCCAAACAAGGTCGAATTAACTCTTTAATGGGTAAATTTTGAAAACATAAGATCGTTTCAATTCCTTGATTTTGCTAAATCTTCCCCCCGCTGTTAATAAGGCTTAACTAAAGTACCAACAAATGGGGTGGGGGGGGATGCAGATCTGTGACAAATTTACTTTAACGGCCCTAGGGACACCTTTGCATTACGTAAGGCACTGCAGACTGCAAACCTTTGATCATTAATTACGCTTATAAATATTCATCGATGATTTGCGGTTTTTGCAGTTCCTACTGTATTTTTCATTTATATTTTTCTTTTTCGTCTGGGTATCGGTGGTGCAAACGGAGACCCCTTATTCAAAAGATACGTGGAAATTATTAAGATTTGGTAAACAGCAACGGTAATTGAAAAGGGGGTCTACGCTAATACACAATCGTGCTAGTGAATCTCTGTACTTTATTTGCTTCACTAAAATACGTGCCTTTGTGATCGCAGTGTGAACATAGAGGTTCCGGAAGTACTATAAGGCATGGCAGTTTGCGACTACCCAATAACTATTCATGGCATTTAAACAGCGCGGAGTACAAATATACTTTTCAGCATTTAGTATAAACTGACTCTCTCCTCCTCTTCTGTTAGGGTTGTTTATTTGTATTTGGTGTATATTCAATGCAAAAAGGTAAATTTTAATGAAATCTACTAGCCAACATGGACACTAACTGTGCTTGGTCCTCAGGCAATTCTATGGTTTTAACTGAACCTGTACATTATACCAGTGAATATTGTACTTTTACTCCTACACATACCCTCGGCGTGGACTTATTAAGTTTTTAAATTCTTAATATTAAACGGAATATTTTAATCAATATTAAAATACATTACTTGTAAGATTATAGGTAATTTTAATAAACAGCAACCACATTATGTTAATTTGCATGTTTAATCCCTCGATCAATAAGAGTATGCTGAGTAAGTTTGGTTAAACCAAAGATCGGTTTGAAGAAATGAATGAAGCAAATGTTTTGCGATATGATCTTTATTTTACGATTCCTTAGAGCTTCAATTAATAAACACACATCTAGTTTTTGTTACAGACAGATTAATCTTTATACCAGCGTTTTAATTAGCTTATCTTATCACAATACACAGAACATAATTTTAACACATGGGTTTGATATGAAATATAAATAGTTCAGATTTGACTCATACATAACAAAGTTCATCTAGCTGGGCCGTCACATGCTACAGTAGAGAACAATTAAAATGGGATAGAAAGACGATGTCAGGTATACAGCTCCTGTTCTAGAAGGTGCACTTTTACATCGGAAATAAAATTTATCATGATCTCTTGTCAAGAAATTGACGTGAAATCAAATGTTAAATCAACATTTTTGTCCTAAGGCATATGGGTCATTCTCGATAACGCCATTGCTGCTGCGATGACCTAATAAATCATGCAGTATGTATTGTCTCTTTGTCGTTTTCCCTTGCTCTAGGCGCCGCCTACAAATAACTACAGCCAAGGTAAAGCACGGTGTTTATGGTGTCGCTGGGAAGACCACTTATCTTGTTGGAAGTACCCCTAAAATTATACGGTGACGACGTTTCACTATAAGTTGGTCGAATTGACATTTCATAAACCGGCGAGTATGGTGGACTTATCTGTTACAGCTCTTTAATAATTACAAACAGTGAAACAGTCTGCCGGCTTAGGAAATTTACAAGAAAATAATTTTAAAGGCTGTAGTGAGGACAAAACGTGCAGAGTTTTTCTGTTCTTTCTTCTCATTATCCCCCTGCACCAAAAAAAGGAGCAAACTGAGACGACAACCATGCATATTGTCCCTCCTTGTGCCCCGTGCAGCAAAGTAAAAATTGAACCCGTCTGCTATTTAAATATTTGCCGGAGAAAGTAACGGAATGTTTTCAACCCTCTGACTCACTCCCCCTAATCAAGAAGCTGGACTCGCCAGGTTTCTCCACACTGCATACTCACTACAAGCTAGTAGGCTATATACGTACCAGTTGATGAGGAAGGACTTGACGTCGGCAACTGTAGCATAGTCGACCACACTCAGGTACAGAGCACACACCCCGGCCTGGAGAGAGAGAGAGAGAGAGAAAAAAACAGGGAGTAAGAGTATATAATATATGTATTGAGTTATATAAGTGGGCTGAGCCGAGAGGTGGGTATTAGCCCCACCCCCACCCACCCACACACACACACACACACACGCACGCACGCACGCACGCACACGAATTTTTCTGACAAACAAATATTTGGATACTAATGCATGACATGTAGATTTGTTGTTTTAAGCATACACATCTTCTTCGCCTGAAGCGACAATGATATGAACGTTAAACACTGGGGAAATCAGTAAAAAAATTACAATACTGAAGAAAGAAAACTGTTTTACTTGTTATCGCAATATCAAGTATGAAAGTTCAGCTTTATATTAAGGTTTACATACCGTAAAAGGCGAGGAAAAAGATGTGCCTAAAATAATAATAATACATACATGTAACGAAGTATCAGCGAGCGCCGTGCATATTAAAGCTGATGAAAGTAAAGATAGGGACTAAAGGCATCAAAGCGCAAGGATGTCTGGAGAGTTTTAGGTAACGCTGCATCAAATGCACTGCAACTTTTAAACACAGGACAATCATGTGTTATTATTGTAAAATTTTGATAGAGTACTGCAGGTGTAGCAGCTGTGTAAATTACTGTAACAGCCACCCCCTGAAGAATGTAGAAGTCACCGTTATCGGTACATATTCTATTACTATTACTACTACTACTTCTACTACTACCACTACCTGTACTATTACATTTGATTTATATTATTAATAATTTATATTATTAATACAATTATTATTACATATTATTATATTATAAATATAATCATTATATTATTATAATAATATTATAATGCTAATACTACTATCACTCACCGTTATCTTGTCTTATAGCGTAATCTGTGGCTGTGCCAGCACCAACAATTTTGCTGCCCTGAGGGAAAGATGATGCAATTTTCTTATATCAACGATGGGCAGTACTTACAGTGCACAAAGAACCAAAAAGCAAAATTCAAATTGAGTAAATCTCTGTCTTGCCTGAATTCCGATAAAATATATCATGGAGCAGCATACAAAGCGTCACTGGAGAATTACAGGCAGTTTTCAAAATCTAAAAGTGAGCAAGGGGATATTTCAGTATGCCGAATATGTTTTTAAATGATCCCCGTACATATCAGTATATTTCCCAATGGGTATTTAACATTATAAACATATATATTATCTTAAAAATGCCATATTCCGGGTCGGGGTGGGGGGAGGGGGGGAGGGAGAACAGATGGTCGCGTGGGCCTATTTGAGCCTCGGAGCTCACTGTACCTACTTTTCCCGCAAAAAAAGAAATGTTCAGCCAAAAAATACATTGCCCCATCCATGTTCATCACATCAGACAAATTGTAGTTAAACTCTCGACGTCTATTGAATTATATTAGCAGAGAGGATTTTTATTCTTGTATCCAATCGCCCCGTACGAAACTTGGCAAGTTTTTATCTAAATTAAATTAAATTATAATAAAAATGTAAAGAAAATCAATTAAGAAAAAAAAGAAACCACAAAAAGGAGAAACGGAGCCACACTGTGAGTACAAGAGGACTTACCGGGGCTATGATGTCAACGCATGGTCCATAGTTGGAAAACGAAGCTGCAAACACGTCATAAGGACCCGAGGCGCCAACGGCAACCCTGAGGAAAAAGACCGAGAAATCCGGGCTCTGATATATATATGTGTTTGTTCATAGTGTAATGTTTTGTGGAAAAACGAAAATTCAAATAGGAAAATACCTGTACAACATCATCATCATTTCTTTTACGTAGGCCTTATATCGAAAGTTGTGACAATAACAAGAAAAATAATTCAAAAGTAGTTTAAATTTAACATTTGATTGTGTGCCTAAGCATACGGGAGACGGCAATAGAAAGTGTGATAGATGTGAAAATCTACAAGATAAACATGTAAACGTAGAGTCAAAATCCGTGTTTCACGTGTGTTTGTGTTTGTGAACGTGTGTGTCTGTGTGAGAGAGAGAGAGAGAGAGAGAGAGAGAGAGAGAGAGAGAGAAAGCACTCACACGTGTTCTGAATATCCGGGTGTAGTGTCGCAGGCATCTGCTTTATTGTTTCCAGCCGCACCAACCACCACAATGCTCTAAAATTGCAAAAGTTAGGTAAAAAAAATCAACCATGTGAAACAATTCCTTTGCAGTATATGTTAAATCACCTCACATTTGTCTAGCACAATAATGCTTTTTTTAATATATATAAACCCACCTTTCACCGGTTAAACTGAACTCACCGCATTTTCTGCTGCCTCCAAAGCATCACCAATGAGATTGGATACAAACGGCGCAGACACAGATAAACTGTAACGTAGAAATAGTGGCTAGAATGGGTTGAATTTAAGGCAAAGTGAATTCTAAGCGAGACATATACCATGAAATTTATTATGTCGTGCTTATACATTTCATTAAATCGATACGTGTCATTAAAACGCGTCACCTGTTTCATTCAATATGAAAAATGCCTTGCTAGCAGGTAGCAGGCAGTGGTCATGTCCTCAATTATGGCTTTCCATTACCTTTAGTAATGATTCTCCATGATTAAATTGTGATAAAAAATCCAACTACGGACCCTAACAGACACCCTTGTCTACCGTGTTCGTGAGGATAGGGGCGTTCTGTACAGACTTACTTGATGATGCATCTCCCGGTCACCGCTGTACGGTTGGCGCAGTCCTCCACCGCAAACCCTATGGCGTCAACGAGGCCGCTTAAAAATTAAAAACGATGAGACAAAATAGGACCATGTTAGTTTGTTTAAGCAGTCTGTACTACTATAAATTGAAAGAAGAGTGTTGTTTGTTTTGAATAAAGGTTGGGTTGAGTGAACGAAAGAGCGTACAGTTCTCTACATTTTTCTTCTATTCGGTCGCCTGAAAGATGAAACTATAGAAGTGCGTGTATGAAGTACACACTGAAGCGGTAAAAGTTAAAGAATTCATTTCGGGACATTTATAACCACGCTTCACTGAAACGTCCAAGTCACCAAATACCTTTCCCTTTAAAGTGTTGTCTCTTCTTGGTTACAGGCTTTTAAGATGTGTGAATGAAACTGGTGTGAATGAAACTGGTATTTCATTTTACTTTACTCACAGCTGTACTTACTCTATGGTCCCTGTCCCATGCGAATTGAGGACCTTGACAGATACCAACATAGTCCCTGGTGCAACACCGTAATGTTTACCTCCAACAAGACCTGGCAGAAGATAGACCACCAATATGAAATAAATTAGCTAGTACCCTAGCCTCAAGTGCTGCGAAATTTATCTCAAAATACATAAAACGATATCTGGTCTTACGGCACCTTTAAAAAACCTAAGACAACCATATAATTTAGCGCCAAAATGATCTGATGCCTACATGTATATATATCATTTTCCTACTATTAATTCAGCTCATTACATAAATTATGTATGCCGTAACGAGGAAAAATGTAACTGCTGTTCTAATGTTGATATTCTACTTTTAAGGTAGAGTTAATATCTGAGGGCCAGTGTTTATTTCAAGCAACGAATAATGTTAATCTGCACGTGCGTATCTTCATATACCACCAATTCAAAACAAATGAAAATTGCAGTTACTTAAATGTTACTAAATTATCTATTTAGTCATTTATGTTTGGGGAGAACTCTTTTCTGCACAAAACCCATTAGCACTTCTAGTAGCAGTTTGTCGCCATTTGCCTGCTAAATATCAAAGCCATTATTGGACTTACTAGCCACTAAGGTCCCGTGTCCATAGTTATCCTCTGTGCTGGGAGTTGTTTCTCCGGAGTCCTCTTTCACGAACACATCCTGTCCATATAAAACACAATCCTTGTCAGCCAAATTGCGCACCGAATGTGTTCTCAACCACTTTCACACCTAACACAATTCAACCAAAACTTCCCACCGTTTTTTTTTTTTTTTTTTTTTTTGCAAAGCAGACTGTTAGGATCCTACTAGGGTTTATTTTTCAAGTTGTACGTCAATATTTACATATAATTTATATTTAAATGGTTTTAAAAGCTTATTTTGCTCAAAGATAATGTGGGTTTATACACCTAAAACACATAATAAAGTTATGTTTGTTTATGCGTCAATGGCCCGTTTCACATCGAGCAGTTCAGTTTTCTGTATCGTATTAGTTTGTCTGTGCCTTCTACGTGTATGTAATCTAGCTGGATGGGGATTGGTGGCTGGCGTGGTGTGGGGAGCCCCAAAATGCAAAGATGTCTGTCTGTCTGTCTGTCTGTCTTTTTTTCTATCTGACTTACCCCTGCAATGACGCGTCCCTCAAACTGAGAATGGCTGGCACGAATTCCGCTTTAATATCAAAGAGATGTGGCAAATAAAATTTAACTTTAATGGCGACAAAAGACACTTTTGTCATCTTTTCAAGTCACAAGCATTCATTTTCACAAAACGATAGTGTTTATATACAGTAGTGAACAATAGTAAACGTACTCATGCAAAAAAATATAATTACAAAATAGGAAAAGATGTCTTGAATTTGCCATTAATATTTAATTGATTTTCGTGGTCAGTGCATGATGGCCGACAAGACATGCATTGATGCGTTCTTACATGGATTTATATGCAATGATAGGATCTATACTTACGAATCAATAACGTAAACGTAAGTGTTATGACCATCGTTCCCTGAACAGAAAAAAAACAGTATTTTAATAATTAAAAGTCCCTTAAAATAGTGAAGTTCTGCTAACAAAGGATTTGTCCATAAATGAAAATTTAGTGCAGATCTGTATGAGGGATGTCACATATAACCAAAAGAAACCACAGGAATAACTGAAAAAAATAATTGCAAAAATATTTTGGACGGTAAACCTGAGATTGCTTCTGTCCTACTGGGGTAAAAGTATGCCCCTACACCTAAATTGCACATACACATATATGTACACATAAAGGAACGGAAATGGTTTTAAAAACTTGTGTGAGTCACAGTGTGATAGTGATTGCTATAAAAAATACAGGCAGCTGTTTGAAAAGTAGAACAGATGAGAAAGGATGTTATCAAATGTTGCATGCCAAAAAACAGCCACTTTTAGTTTGAATGTATTTGCGTTGACAAACAAAAAGTTCAGCTAAATCACAAAATCAGTGATTCGTAGCCTGTTTGTTATGTACATTGTGTTACATGTACTTACCAATGCTCTTAAATTTGTTGTCAAGTCCATATGCTCGCTTGTCTAATCTGTCCATAGCCTGAATGGGAAAAAGAAAGAAGAATATAGAAGAAATAAATATGGCATCATTACCTCCGCCAAGGAGGTTATGTTTCACTCGCATTTCTTTTTTTCTTATTTTTCTTTTTTTTTTTTTTTTTTTTTTTTTTTTGGGGGGGGGTGATCAGGGGGTAGAAGGGGTGATCAGAATTGAAACAAGGAGCACATGTACTTTGCAACCCCCTCCTGTAAAATAACGACTGCCTATCGAGTAGAAACCCAGCCATGAAGCCTGTTCAGATGTGTTCAGACCTTTACAACTTGAAACATGAGTAAAATTTAAACATAACTTACCCAGGACCCGATGCCCGTAAGCCCCCGATCATCACACCAAGCGCTTGCTTCTATCACGCCATTTTGTTCTATGTAGTCAACTGCGTTGTCGAATGCAAGCTCTTCTATGGCACTAAAGCCGATAAAAACCAACACCATTATTAAGTGATATATACTGGCACGTATTAAAAAAAGAAGGGGAATAACAAGCAATCTTCCTATTCATCTTTTTATTTTTTATCTTCTTATCCCTGGCTACAGCCCTGTTTACTTCCCTTTCTAATTTTATTTAATTTATCCGGAAAATCACAACTTTCAGCGTAAAATCATCATAATTGGTTATTCCATATGGGCTCATTGATTAAATATTCTTAATGTTTCCACCAGTCAAATATAACTGATGTGTATAGTACCAGCTGTTCAAGGCACGAAGATCCTGTCATATAAATAGGTCTATAAGATTATCGGAGGCCATACACATATTCAGACAAAAGACAATGGAGAAAATGAACGCCCATTTATCACTTACCTGAACTCTGCTTCCATGGTTACAAATTTGTGTTTACCAACTTTTTTCTTCTTTTTCAGCTTCGGGACTTTCTTTGCTTTCTTGGCTTTGCTGTAGCCTTTCACCTTTACGTCCAGCATATTTGCCGTTTGATCAACTAAAACAATAAAAAATGTTTATTTCTGAGTTTTTTTCTCCAGTATACACTGGCGGATGTTCACCTTGAGGTAAAGCGGTCTCTGGAGTCTTATCTCTCTACTACGGTATGTATATTGTGAGATTTCAGGGGGTTCACTCTGGTAAGGGATTGAGGTGAATTCGCCATTTTGTGAAGATAAAAATGGAGGAACTAGATTCCCCCCCTCCTCCCTGATTCTCTTATAAGTCACACAAGTGCATGTAACACAAATCTAACTTCTGGCTAAAACACATTGGCAAAAAATTAATAATTATATATCTCCATGGCCAAACGTTCTTACTATATTAACTATGTATTCAGGAGTTGTGAAATATAAATAATACTGATAACAAGAAAAGCTTTTTAAGCAACCAAAGACATCGACTGCGCTAATGGAATACGTACGGTCTAGGTAGTCCTTCATTTTTACAATGTAAGTCGTACCATCACCGGCAGGGCGCGCCACCTTTCGCAGTTTCATTTTCGCTATCTTCGGTTTGATCTTGNCCCCCCCCCCCCGATTCCACATATCTAACTTCTGGCTAAAACACATTGGCAAAAAATAAATAATTATATCTCCATGACCAAACTGTCTTACTACATTAACTATATATTCAGGATTTGTGAAATATAAATAATAGTGATAACAAGAAAAGCTTTTTAATCAACCAAAGACATCGACTGCGCTAATGGAATACGTACGGTCTAGGTAGTCCTTCATTTTTACAATGTAAGTCGTACCATCACCGGCAGGGCGCGCCACCTTTCGCAGTTTCATTTTCGCTTTCTTCGGTTTGCTCTTCCGCTTTTTCATCTTGAAATCTGCCGGCAGCTGAGGCCGTCCTGCCGCCCCAAACAGCTCGGGAGGCATCAGCCGAGCCATGTGGTCAACATCCGTTTCTGTGAAGGGTGATATGTATAAATATCAACTTTTTAAAAAATTGAAATTAAATTAAAACATGGATGATTCATTTGTATCTTGTGTAAGGGTAGTAAAAAGGTATATCGTTTTGCGGGAACTAAACAAACGTATTGAATATAAAGTGGCAGATTCGCAGTGCACAATTGGAATGTGCACTTTGACAATATCTTGACCATTTTGGAATAGGTCATGATGGAGGAGATAGTGAACATTTTTTCTATCTAATTGAAAGCAAACTTATTTAGATAAATAAATAAAGCTTCATTGAGTGCAAAAATATGTTTTGTGAAGTGTGGAGTAAAGCTGTTCTACTGCTTGTTGATCTAAGGAGAGACATTTTGAGATGGTCCCTCACACACACACACACACACACACACACACACACACAATAATAATAAATAAATAAATAAATAAATAAATAAATAAATAAATAAAAGACGACAGCCCCCATTCTTACTTTCCAACAAACTATTAAGATATAAAATTCCATTCATCAATCAAGGGAATTCAAAAAGGTTAATTGTCTCTATCTTTTCAGTTTTTTTAATATACTTAATTTCTGGTCGGGCAAATTTTAAGACAACCCCTAAATAAAGAGCTCTTTACTGTTATTATCGTTAAACAAAATAAGCCTATTCAGTATTGAAATTCCGCGCTTTGACGAAAAACACTTCTTCACGGTGAAAAAAAAAATCAATCTCAGTGTTTTTTTTTTTTTTTTGATGATGATTTACCTTAAAATAACTCACCTCTTGAGGGCCCCACACCACTGATCACAATGCTACCACTTGTCAATTTGCTGTCTAAATTTCCTGGGGCTTTTTTCTTGGGTTTCTTATCCTTCTTTGTATTCTTGGCACCAGCATCTACATTGAAGGATATGAAAAATAAAGGAAGGGCAAAGGGGAAATATAACAACTGACGTACTGCGTCTACAAATAAAAAGAAAGGGAAAAGTAATGCTCATACCTTTTATATATACATTTTTCTCATATAAGTATCGCTGTACTATTTATTAACCTTGTAGAGTGCTTCATGGAAACGTTTAACACTTACGATGGACAAAAACATATGAGTAAACCTCATTAAAGTATAGTCCAGTGCCCATCCACTACTGTGGTATTGCCGGTGGATATAGCTTCGTAAATTTAAATTAATAGCTGGCTTTATGGCGAATTTGTGCTTACCGCTACAGGTTAATTGAGGACGGTTTGGTTATCACCTAAAATGAGGAGAGTCTGACGGGTATGTCGCCCCAGTCAATATCGTACTCTGTATGGAATTGAATGTCACACTTTCGTGTTATTTAACAAGGCGATTTATTCTTTATCAGTAGACCCCCTCCCCCTCCCCCCCCCCCCAAAAAAAAAAGTCAATCTTTTTTTTTCGTTTATTTGCACCGAATCTAAGCCTCCCTTCTTAATCTATAATCTACTGTACCCAAAGAAGGATTAAAAACGCTATGCACCAGTCCTTAAAAAATTAAGTCCGACCATTGGTCTTAATTACTAGATGAAAAAACTTCTACTCCTACTTCAGTCCAAGCAAACTTTAACCTTTTAAGTACAGTATGGACTGAACCATTAGCAATGACTTTACTTTTATAAGACAAGGGCAGTGCTTAATATAATCGAACTGCAACCAATAATATGTCGAAGTAGACCGGAATTTTGGTATTAAAGTTTAAACTTGTCCTCCACTCCACCATCCCCTCCCTCCCTCCCTCCTTCAAGAGCTTCTTTCAAATGAAAATGCATTGCCATAGCCTAAATGTCCCAGTCACTGATGTTACAAACACTGATAATTACGGTTGAGCCTAGTTTAACACAACATCCCACTTCGAAAGTGAGAGACTGGTGACTTAATACCCTGGCTATAACGTAAGAGAGTCACAAAACGGAGCCTCCGCGATCGACACTGTTCGACCGACTACACACCCTGCTAAGACTAATTGCACAGGCAGAGTATCACGTGAAAGACCTACATCTCAAATTGTCGCCACGCGTACAAAGGCGAGACGTGAGCAGTCACAGTACATACCCGGTATATCATTTGCTTTCTTTTTAAGATTATCAGTCCACCGGCAATAGTACACTTCTTCAGACACCTATGACAAACTCGTGTTTATTTGATATTGACACTTTTAAGATAATACACCTAGATCAAAAGAATCAAAGGGAAAAGGATAAATAAGAGAAGGGCACGGCCTTCGAGTGGAAAATTAAACCTATTCCTACAAAGCGTACCATGTCTGAGAGTGGCGGACCTATGCACTACCCTCTCCAGGGCCACATGTTGATTTTGTACTTGATATTCACAGCTATGTCGTTATTACCTATTTTTACACCTTTCTCTACAGTAGAATTTTTTAAAGGAATTATTTACATCACCCGACTGGCCTATAACGTAGAGTACCTGTATACAGTCTAAGCACGCCCGCGTCACACAACTCGACACAAGAGTTATTCACTCGATGTGATTTCACTCAAAGTACGAAAGGAAAAAAACTCAATTTTCCTACCTTGTATGCAGGATCCCAAGATCGCAAGAAGAATTAAGACGACGAGAAAATCGCGCGACTTCATTTCCTTGTATTTGTATGGACTGATCCAGCAAACAACAGTGTTTTTAACGCAGACTGTAGCAGTCATTCGTTTAAATAGTACGTCTTCTTTATGTTAATGGGTATAATAGCTTTTAATTAACTTAACTTAAAGAAGGGTAAATGTAGACATAAAATGTACGTTTCGCTGATTTATGGACTGTAAATAACACTTAGCGCATTACAAAAACACACACATATCCCCTTATCCGGGTCGTCTTTAAAGAAAAAAAAAGAAAGTTTAAATGACATATTTTAAGCAGCAATTTTTCGAACGACGTAAAGTAATTACGCTGTAATGGTTATAAAGAAATAGGTATTTTTTAGGTGGCACGAATGGGTGCAGAATCAAAAGGGAAGAGGATTGTATTCATGCTTTATGTTATTAGCTTATTCTAGAGTCGATGGATGAATAGATTTTTTTTTCTATAAAATGTCTCGACGGTGCATCCGTTTGACTAAATACTAGTACATATACTGACAAAAGTATACACAAAGAGAGAACGAAACAAAAAGTGCACACTGAAACTGAGAATATGTCTAAGTGTTAAAGTTTCCGTTATTTTTAATAAAATCAGTTACGAAGGTATTAAGAAAAGACCAATTGTGTGTGATATCCTAGCAAACAATTACAACCGTATACAATCACGTGTCAATTAGCATACTACGTCGGTTCTGACGTCATCAACAAGTCTACTTCGCATATACTGTGATCACATCAACACTTTGAAAGGGACCATTTCCACAGATATTTGGATCGATCTACGTAGAACGGGGCCTAATAAACATAACACGGCACTTTGTATATGATGTATATTTTTCTATCTTTTACAACCAAATTCCTTCAGCTAATTTGCGACATCTACTTCATATTCCATCATATACATGCACTTATAGTGGAACGACAAGGACAATGACATTGCTTCAATAGTGTATTGCTCACCCGGCATTCAGTCGGGATTACGCTACCGAATAATGATGGATGGCATAAAGAGTCCTGGCGCTGATTTTTCAATTCACTGTCACCACCACCACCACCTCTTTTCGCCTGTCAAATTATTACACATTCTGTTCAATGACTGTGACAAAATCGTCACGACTGTATTGTTGAGAATCATTTGGGAATACTTAAATTTACTTTTGTTATAGGGGATGTTCATGATGTTATGGAAGATGCTTATCTCTTTTGATGGGACACATACGGGTAGGTCGCATTTTCACAGCTGTTACCCGTATCCCTTTGCACTACACATCCGTAGATTACCATGGTGAAATAAAGTGAAGATCAGGGCAAAGGTTACCATTGCTCACATACACGTTCATTTTGATAGCACTCGTGTATTTTCCTCTCCTATCCAAGAAAAAAATTCCCTCTCTCGTCGTAAAATCTCTGATTGCTACATTAAAACCCAGGGCCGTAGCCTGAGCAAAATGCCAGGGGGGGCAGTAAGCGGACACGAGGGGGCAAAGCCCCCGAGGGGGGAGGGTGTGGGGGGAGTCCCCCTAACACGATGTGGAAAATTTTTAAAAACTTTATGTATAATGCTGCATTCTGGTGCATTTTAACTGCTATTTATTGCTCGATCATAAGTCATAAATTGTGGGTTCATTTTGCCATAGGTACAGTCATTTTTTCAACACAACATGCCAATTGGACTTCATTTCGTAGATTGTCTAAAAACAGTACACCTTTGTAAAGAGATTGTTGAATGATTGTCTAGTGGCCATGAGTGCATTTTCTCACAGAATTGATACCAACTTTGCAATTATTTTTATTCACCTTTGCGATTATTTTTTTGCACCTCAAATCCCAGGGGGGGCAGCTGCCCCCCCTGCCCCCCCGGAGGCTACGGCCCTGAAACCGTATTCTGTTCGTGTATGAACTTTAATCTTTTAAGAATAGTGTAAAACCTGATACGTACCAGAAACAGACAAATGATGCTGAGCAAGTACAAATTGCTTCATTCTTAAACCAAATCCTCTTTAATGAGCGGGCGCGGCTCACAGTCATAGGTAGATTAAATTACACTTGGGTACCTGTAAAAGGAACTGCGAAGACAATGACGATGACAGGGACACAGCAAAATAGGTTCACACCTTTACCCCCAAAGTCACCGGGAGAGAATTAAAACGTTCCATCTCAATTTTCACGGTTTTGAGAAAGAACCATAGTACAAACTTTATACGCAAATAAGCAACGCAGGGAAGTACATGTACTGTAGGGCAACTGCCCAGCTTCTAGTGATACCGATAACTTCAAAAGTAAAATAAGAAAAGTATATAATTCTTATCCGACGAAGTGTTTAAGTTTACAATTGTGTTCCTGGTCACTGCATTATCTATCACCCTCAACAGACGTTGGTTTATTGTATACGATATCCCAATTCTATATCGTTTCCGCCCTATTGCGTTTCCTGCAAAACAGCGATTGTTATGATGTCAACGACTGAATAAACATCGATGATTGCCGTATAAGTCTGTGTCATGAAGTTGTCAATTCATCTGTGTTCACCTCACATAGTCATAATGACACAAATGTCGCTTCTGCTTTCTTTTCTTATTGTCGTACCAGATCTGCGACCGTTCCGACTCGCACAACTTGCAAAATATTTATATTGTTAACAAAGATCAACAAAATAAGCATTTTTCACGCCGCGCCTCTCAATGAAATGTAATAGATTAAGACTGCCAATTGTCAACGCAGCGATTGAATAGAAAGCGTGGTTTGTTACATGAGCGAATGCTGGCCCTTGCAGCACGGACGTCGGCATGCGTCACCACTGAACGCTGTTATTATTGATGATAAACATATGTTATTACAGCTCCTCAATGGAGACCGTGGGTGGAGACAGCGCCAAGGTTGTATATTTAGTTCCAGGGAACTGGCCTGTCGTCTCACTGGCCTGTTTGAAGGAGCAAGAGAGCGACAAGTTTGGGAGTGAATCTGACTCAAGTCCGGAGGTAACGTACGAAATTTAATTTGTAAGTTAAATTTATCTTAATAGATCTATAATATGAATAGCAAGGTTCGACATAATTGCTCCTTTCACATAATGACATCCATTGTGTAACATGACATTTAAAGTCAGCCGAGTTGTTAGAAGTAGAAGAATCAAAATTTTCTGTAATCTATCCGGAGTTTATTTAACTTTGTTTATAGAAAATCAGATTATGTGTAGTTTTAATCTGACGTTAGCCTCAACATGCGCCCATGGTTGCTCTGAGTCCAAGATGGTTTTAGCTTTGCGACGTTACTAGTAGAAAAGCCGGGCGCATATTTCACATTGAAAACGCCAACAGCACAATGCAACCTTTATTTCAATAGCGAAAGTAGCACTGCGGTTCAAGTTCTTTGGCTCAGTTTTTCTTCACAACAATAGCGCTTCCGTTTATTGATACGCGTAGCTAGCTCTGTATACAGGGATATGAATTTCCGATATTCAGCCTGCTACACTTAAGACGCTAGCATGGGCCTGATAAGGCAGCAGTCGTATTTTCTGCTCGGGTAATAATTTCTACGTATACAGGGCCCAAGTTTCTGAGCACATCTTGGTTCAAGATCCATTTGAACATGGCGCAACAGGTAGCAGTGAGAAATGTATGTCAGTACCTGTTCATAAACGTTCATTTCAGGACTGACTTTGCACGCTCGTTGTCACGGGGAAGAAACTAGTACATTCCCAAAAGGCGAACTATGGCCGGCGCAGGACTGGGGCTGACTTTGACACTCTTGGCTCTCACCTTGCGGTGTCGGCCTGTACACAGCCATGGCAGGCTGTACGAACCCCCCGGACGCTCCACCGCTCATTCGAGGGGCTTTGACACGCCGGCCAACTACAATGACATGGGCCTTAACTGCGGTGGATTTAGTGTAAGTTCATTATTATTATTATTATTATTATTATTATTATTATTATTATTATTATCTTACTGTCAGTTGGTTGTTGTCAGTTGGTTGCGTTTTCACTGAAGTCTTTAATATAACATCTTTTTCATAAAATACGCAGCGACACTGTTGAATTGAATTTAGTCAGTACTTTGTTTACAGTATATCTTGAGACTTGCTTTATTTTCATTAGGATCATCGATATGAACCCCTATCGCGTGGTGACACTTGTTTAATCTTTCATGAGCATCGATCAGTCAAAAGAAACTGTCAAACGGAACACTTAAACGTTAACCGATAACGGTCTTTGGGCTGAAATCAATTTTTTCGTCTACACCGATTCAATCTGCTACCACCATCTGATCCGCTTGAGGGGCTCCTGTTCTCTGTGCATTTATCTTGTGAAAAATCAATCTGTCGCCCTTGTGGAGGGTACCTGTCCCCCCTGTATACTAGTGTGCATGGGCCACTGGGCAATTTGTGTGATTTCATGAGCAATATGTGCGTGACTTGGCAGTATTGTTGATCGTGTGTGGTGTGGGGTAGCGGTATGACGACTGGACTAGCTACCTCTAATTTTTAAGTTAAAACAATTATAACAAAGTCCATTTAAGACCACGCAGTGCGTGCTCTCCGACTTTTTTTTTACTTACTGAAAAAATAGCCTGGTGCTACTCCCTAATCCTCTAAAGCATGCCCAGGTAAATAATTGGGCTTATAAGAATAATACATACTATTTTAAGCTTAGCTGTATTGTATATGCAGTATTGTTTATTATTGTATTGTAATAACACAATTAGGGTGTACCTCACCTGTAGTCATCTTTATTTGGTCTTATAATTCTGTATTGAATTCTGTCTTTACGTCATGTACAATCGTAAAAATGCATCCCAATTTATAGAGAATAGCCAGCATTGTGTTATTTTGCAAACCAAAACCAAAATCATAGATTGTGCATGCATATTTCTTTTTCTTTCGCGGCTTTCGTTATACGTGTATTTCTTTTTCTTCCTTGGCTCTTGTTGCGTATGTATTTCTTTTTCTTTCGTGGCTGCTTTCTTTTTCTTTCGTGGAGTCTGACTTGAGTCAAAATAGTTGTCGCCTACATTTGTAAATACAGGAAGTTCGAAGATGTTATGGCCTTCTTGGGGTCGTTTGTAGTTTACTCATTTCAAACTGACTAAAATTACTATTGTTTATAGCAATTGTGTCACAGAGAAAATAAATAATACCATGTCTCAACTCTCACCTTTGTCACTGCACAAAGAAACTCTGATATAATACCTGCAATTCAGGGGGGAAAGCTACTGTACACAAATATAATTACTGTATCTTGCGGGACACAAAAACACGACAAAATGCCACCAATGTCTACCATATTACGTATCAAGGAAGACAAACTAATGTTTCACTGACCGGAAAATTCACTGTCATACCTGTCCCCAAGCGGAAGACGGGTATTAACTGCGACCTGGCTTTTGGATAAATGCATGAGCAAGACGCTTTCACATTTTTCACAATAGAGTGTGAAATCATCCACGCCCCGACCCGCTGCCTTTTTCATCAATAACAATGTATTTATCAAGGGCAGCTGTGGTGGGCAGCCCCCTGTAACCCCAGGGGTAATTACACCCCTCTTTAACCCTTGATTTAAAGGACCTCTACCCCCACCCACCCTTCCCAATGTAAGCCTAAAGTGGCAGGCACAATAGGCCTAGGTGGGATCTTAGATCGAGCGTTTGCCTCTAGGGCCTTGGTCTTAAATGTTAATAGACCCTATACAAATAAGATTGTAATTAAACAGAACCACGATGCTTTACAACAGGACAAATGACTCGGGTTGTCTTCTTCACTCCTCTAATTGTAATTATAATACATAAAGGTGAGAACAATTTAGTGAACTCTTTAAATCTTCCAGTATAAAGACTGACAATGGTGTGCGCCGAGACAGGAGTGGTACCCTGTAGTCTGTTCCTCATCATTTCGTACTTTTGACATTCGTCCACCCTATTCTCACCGCACTTCTTCAAACCAAAACCAATCCTAGACATATTGGACCCCGGATTTCCATGCGTAGGGCTGCCATTAATGTCTCATTCGGGTTAAAATAAACGCCCTGGCTTAAGAGCACGGTATAAGCTGTTTTAAAAACCGTTTACATATTTTTCTCTACATAAATCATATTTATACATTTTGAGAAAGTTGATTAGAAGGTTGATTTGTCGATGAGGAAAGGTAAAAAAAAAATGTTTCCTACATTGGACCAACACATGTACCCCCCTGCCTCCTATCATTATGTCGGGTCTTCAGAGAGCACATTTATGACGATTTTTATCTACGGGATCAACATGTGACTAGCTGTAGCTTCTCTGCGTCCAGGTATGAAAGTTTTAAAAGTTAAACTCGTTCATGCACCATCATTTCATTCCTTAATTATGCACAGATGAACGCATGCGAGCGGCGTGGTCGTAGAGGCGAAGGGTATTTTCCCTCCAAACACCCAGGAGTTTTTTGCCCTGTTATATTTCTAATCTCATATTCTATCTTAGTGTTAATATCTAAATGATGATTTCATATTCTTCAAAATTTCAGAACCAATGGGACGTACATGGTGGGAAATGCGGCGTATGCGGCGACCCCTGGCAAGGCCCTCGTGAAAACGAGGCTGGTGGGCTATACGCCACAGGAACCATTGTGCGGCAGTTTACAATGGGAGAGTATATGCCAATCGTGTTAGAAATAACAGCTCCACATAGAGGATGGTTTGAATTTAGGTAAATACTGGAAAAAGAAATTGGTTGCATTTTTGTCTTTTTGCAACTAATACACATACATGTACAGGTACTAAAAAGTAATTTTCGTCGAGTTTTTTTTTTTTTTTTTTTTTTTTTTTTTGTGATAAAATATAAGTTTCTGCAATGTTTGTCCTACGTGAAAAATAAATAAACTGATTTACAATCTGATAACACTTAATTATTATCAGTAAAAAAATAGATGAAATGAAATATGTATTTAAATAAAAAAATATGAGGATCACTATAGGTTATTGATATCAAACGTATCTTTTCGTCTTGTCCTAATATATATATTGAACCTTATAAGTTTATAATTGGGACAAATTCTCCACAATTTTCTTCAGGCTGTGCCCACACAACGACCCCAGCACCCCGATCACCCAGGGGTGTCTGAACCAGTATAAACTCCCCATATACCTCCACGCCAACGGGACAACGGTCACCCGGTTCTACAGTTTGGAGACCATACCCGGCAGCGGGTGGACAGTGGGAAAGGTCTACATGCTGGCCAAACTGCCCGATTACGTCACCTGTACACAGTGTGTACTGCAGTGGAAGTGGCACACCGGTGAGTGGTGTGACGTCATATGCGGTGAAATGACGTAACGTTGAGCTGATCGAACTTAATGTAAACAAAATCAAAGCTAAATATGATGTCATATTTAGGAAAAAGACGCAATACTTACCTGACCTTAATATAAATAAAGCCAAAGTGGTATGATAGAATTCTGAGATAATTTCGGAATTACCAGCAATGTGTTCAGATAAATACACTGTAGAATAACAGACATGTCGGGGTCCAACATACAGAGTGGATAAGTAATACCCAAACTTCACAATTGCAAATTTTTAAACACAATATGTGATGTTCTTTAAGATGTTCTTAGATTCAAACCAACAAGACACCAAGTCTGATTTCCCAGCACCATACTTTATTTTCAAGTCTCCAGTATTCTCCCGAGATCACAACACACACAACACTGATATTCTCTAACACAATACTGAGCTACTGCACATTTACTACAATACAGAAAACCTAATTTCTAGAATTCAAAGTAGTATGACTGTGAATTCTACTGCGCTGTTGAGAAAAAGTCTCGTTCCGTGATGTCTTAATGTTGAATTTAAAAAATGTAAATCGGGATGGGACGGGTTTCACACATTATTCAGGGGCAGCCCCAAATTTAGCAAACAAAACGAGATTTTTCTGTACCCTGCCTATTGCTGAAAATCTATCCACTATTATATGCGTCGGTTCGCAGAGCAAATGGCAAATAAATAAATAAATAAATAAATAAATAAATCCTTTTCCAGGAAACAGTTGGGGAACAGACCCAGACGGGAACTCCTGTGTGGGCTGCGGCCCACAGGAAGAGTTCTACGGCTGCGCAGATATCGCTATCTATCCACCAGGACAAGGTACAGGAGGAGTCACATTGCCTGCGACACCAGCGCCAACCGGAACTGGAACAACTACGGGGGGAGCTACTGGATCCACTTCCGCACCACCGACAGGTTTGAGAATATTTTTATGTGGATTATAATTTTACTAGCAATGCAGTGAAAGTTCTTGAACGAAGTCAGCTGCAGTAACACAATTATAAAAACAGATAAAAAGAAACTGTACGACGTCAGAATGCACCTTTTTGCAAGAAAAAAAAACTAAACCACCTGTTACCCGTATAATTGTTAACTCACGTTATTTTGGGGACACATAGCAGGGGCGTGCTGCCACGTCGTCTGTCTTCTCAAATTGATCTAAACATTTCAGTTAAATATAGTAGTACTGACTGACATCTTTTTATGAAATAGTCACTCAACAAACGAGGTACAAGTTAAACTGAACAATTTTGTTCAACTTATATGACCTACCTTAGATCTCTATCTATACGGACATTGCCTTAACGTGCGTTCCTAACATTTTTATAGCTCCTGGTAACATGAAGGTGGGCTGCTGGTTTACCAACTGGGCACAGCACAGGTCGGATCTAGCTGCCAAATTCCTTCCGGAGGACATTGACGTCAACCTGTGCACTCACATCTACTACGCCTTTGCCAAGGTGGACAGAGGGACAAATGGGGAATTCACGGTCAAGCCTTACGAAGGCAATGACTTTGGTAATGCCGATCTTTTAATTTACCTCATTCTGAGGCAATCTTGAGATTGGTCTTAATTGCACCTAGTCCAGTAGAAATAAACTTGTATTTAATCAGACCACACGGGCACTGAACATAATGGTATACTGGGCGGTATTCCGTGGACGTGATTTGTGAAAGGTTCTTTTAATAAACACGGGTAACCCCAACATGATTCAGAATACGGTTTGTCAAATATTCGTTCCTGCAAGTACCATTTTTAGATACGGTTAGTACATTTAATCTCCTAGTCCTAATGTACCGAGAATATTAGGGATCATTCCCAGACCCTAAGGTATTAACTGTGGATCGATCTATCTCAGAGGGAATTCTCGCTAAATTGCGATCATCTTAAGCGGCTTAGATGTTTGTCACGCCTACTGAAACTGCTATAGGCGTGCCAGACATCTAAGCCGCTTAAGGTGAAAGCAATTTAACGAGAAACCCCTAGGACATGGATCGATCCTGTTAGATGTACCTGTTAGGTATGGGAACCCAGTCTTAATCACTATTTCAACATTACTGAATGTTTGTTCCAGAGCTGTACTCCCGAGTGATAGGTCTGAAACATTACAAGCCAACTCTTAAGGTCCTCCTGGCAGTCGGAGGCTGGACGCACGGTACGGCCGCCTTCAACGAGATGTCGGCCACCGCGGTGACCAGGGGTCAGTTCTTGAGGAACACCATCGCTTATTTGAGGCTACACGGGTTTGACGGTCTGGATTACGACTGGGAATATCCTGGAGTGGCCTGGCGAGGCAGTGGACCCGAGACCAAGCAGCAGTTTTCGGACCTGGTCAAGGTTTGACACGTTCATGTATAGCCTTTGTATTGTGGTAAACCCATTTCCGATGGTCGTGGGTTTATGCTTATTACCGGTGACGTGCGGAAACAGGGGCGGACCCAGAGCTATTTTCTGACAGTCTTCCAAATTATCTTTGTTGATTCACCCTCTAATTTTGACCGTCTTCCAACATGAAAAAATGGATACCCGTCAATGTAAACTTGAAAATCTGACCGTCTTCCAGAAGACCCAGAAGACGGCCTAAATCCGCCCCTGGGAAAGAGTAAACCGCGCATGCACGTCACCGAAATTGGGCATGAACCCACGACCCGCGGAATTTTTCTGTGGAAAGGGGAGTTAAGTATGTCGATGCTTTTGCAATAAAAATTGAAGGGGAATGTAATTATCAATACACAAAAGTATACTGCAAAATGTTTGCTGTATGGTGACTTTTGTCTTAACGAGTAATTGCTACAAACATTGTCTATATAAACAGACCTCATTTAAATAAACTAATAACTTTTAACAAAACTCTGATTTTTTACCAGTAAACTATTGTAGGGACCAGAAAGACAGTCATTAAATTGATAAATCTTTTTTTATATTAACCAAGTAATGGTATCTTCATCTTACTTTACTTCTACATCTAGGAAACTCGATTGACATTCGAAAAAGATGCTACCGACACTGGAAAAGAGCGTTTGCTGGCAACAGCCTCCGTGGGAGTCAGTAGTTATATTGTTGAAGCAGGCTACGACATTCCTACCATGAATACGTGAGTTTTGCCCAATGGTATGATTATTCCTGAATATTTATAAGGGTTTATTTATTTACTAAGACTTGTTTGAGCTTTCATAATATTATAATTTGATAAAATCCGCGATAATGAACAATGGGGAAAGTGAATGGTTTGAAGTAAGTTCAATATATAGCGGTATTTGACAATGAAAGAAAAACATTACAGAATGAGTTGGTCATACGACAGACTTGTCTGTGGGAGGTTATCTCAGAATATGCACGTGACTTATTGCTCAGAAAGCTGGAAGTAGGGCAGGGCACAGCTCCTACCATAAGTAACTTTTGGGGTACCCAAACAGTGTGACGAACGAAACAAAACAAAATCAAAGATTCATTCCATACCCCCTTGCCCAACATATTATAGTTGTCTTCGTCTACCGTTTTGTATTGAACAAGCGAAGGAAGGCAATAAATGATCTCCTCTCCAAACCCATATCTAAATTCTATATACTATACACTAGTGATGGGATTTTCTTCTTCTAACCTTACCTTCTTCCTTGTGAGCCGACCAAATTAATGGTTATAATTAGTGCTCGAACCACTCCAAACATATGCTGTTGGTGATATCTTTTCAGGTATCTTGACTGGACTAACCTGATGAGCTACGACTTACATGGCTCCTGGGAAGCGTTCCTTGGCCACCACACGGCGCTGTATGCGAGGTCGGATGAAGATTCTACGCAGGCGCAGATAAATGTGGTAATTATTTACATAAGCACAGTCTATTGACGTACATGCACATATGTCACGAAAAGTTATATCCACTGTGACTGTGAATTTGAAAAATATAATGTTCAGGTAGGGAATTATACAAAAAATCCATGTCATGTCAATATTTCCATACCTTTATCTTCATTTTAAGGTTCATTCAAATGAAAAAGATACTGAGTTTCAGTCCTCAGTGAATCGTACATGTGTATGATTTGAGTCTATGCCACTGTACAACGTCTCTATATTTTAGGACTTCGTTGTTCGTTATTGGATCAGTCAGGGATACGAATCTCAAAAACTTCTTCTCGGGGTCGGATCGTATGGTCGCACCTTCAGAATGGCGTCCGGATCCGGGTACAACTTGGGGGATGCCGCTTCCGGTGCAGGGAATCCTGGCCAATATACCGTTGAAGGTGGCCTACTGTCGTACTACGAGGTAATTGCTGATAAGTTTTTTCTCATACCGTTTTGCTTGATCAACTTGACAACAAAGCTTATGTCAGTTAAACCCATCATTTACATGTCAAAATATTTCTCAAAATTTATTTCAGTACACCCTGGGTTATTTGAGGGCTAGCATATATTTACAAAATAAGCTATTCGCGTTCTTTATTTCAAGGTGTGTAAAAACCTGGGTGAAGGCTGGACTAGAGCGTTCAACTACGAGCACAAAGTTCCTTATGCCTACAACAGTGCCTCGCTGCAGTGGGTGGGCTATGATGACGTAGAAAGTATTGGATACAAGGTGAGTTGAGTACATGTACTGTATGGGTAGTGAATGGAATCATCCAATATACCCTTAGACGAAACTCTCGGCATTGCTTGACGTCATACGAGACTAGAAAATAACTGGACTAAGCTTTAAGACCTTTAATTGTAACCATTTTTTAGCAGCAGTTTATTCAAATGAAATAGTGTGATTATTTTATACATGTGACATCGTTGACATAGCTTGTGTTTTATACTTTAATTACATAGACTATCATATCTGGATTGGTTTTGATTGGAATTAGTCAAAGTTTTTCATGAATAGATTTTGATCGATTTTCAAGCTCAAGGGCTGCTGTGAGATTCGCTGGTCAATATCCCTAATTTCCCTTCAATGATGCAATCTCCAAGTACAATAGTGTGCAGACTGAGTGTGAAATTTTCTTCCGTCGTTCTAGGCTGACTTTGCGTGTAGACAGCAATTGGGCGGTGTTCACATGTGGGCAATCGACCTGGACGATTTCAAAAATGCCTTCTGTAACCAAGGAAACTATCCATTGCTGACCGCGGTGAACACGCACCTCTCTCGGTGCAGCAGCGGCGTCACGGGAACACCGGTAGTCTCCACTACCGCACCCACAGCCCCTGTAAGCTCCACCACAGTGCCTACGGGGACTCCAGCTTCATCAGCAGGGACTCCAGCTACGTCGGCGGGGACTCCAGCGCCATCAGCAGGGACTCCCGCTACGTCAGCGGGGACTCCAACTACGTCAGCAGGGACTCCAGCTACGTCGACAGCGACCACTGCAGCACCTGGAGGTACTTTCCTTTATAAATATCTTTTGAATCAGTATTAATTTCCTGTGGTCAAAATTGTTTTAAAGTTTTATGAATACTTTTCTTGAAACATATGTTTAAATATATGTGATTTTCCATTGATTATTTTTCCAGGTTCGATCATCATCATGACACCCTATCCTTATTAATCGGTTTATAATATAATATAATATAATATAATATAATATAATATAATATAATATAATATGATCTCATTCAAGGTCCGATCACCTGTTCATACGATGGTCAGTTCCATTCTGACCCTGAAAATAGCCAGTGTTACTACCAGTGCGGACACCAGAACCCCGTGCACTACTGCTGCGCAGAAGGCACATATTTCTGCCTGGCTGTCACAAACTGTAAATGGCTCAGCGAGCCGTGCCCCGGTGCTTCAAGCACAGGGACATCATCCACGGCGACCACGCCCGCGGCGCCTAGTCCCGGCACTTCTAGCACAGTCAGTACCACGGTAAAGGCTACGACTACCATGGAGCCGACTACTACCACAGTGCCTACGACTACCACAGTGCCTACGACTACCTCAACACCAACAACTACCACAGAAGGTAAATTAAAAGACAACTGTGACAGTGTGATGAGAAGTTTCTGTATGACAGTTAAAATGTAACAAACTGCATGATTTCTGACAAATGACAACTAGATACATGATTGTATTGTGAATACGGGACTGAGTATGAATATTAGGGCATTTTAAAGATTTCTTTTAAAACAAGTTACTAATTAATAACTAGCGTTCTTTGCAGTTCCATAAATCTGTTGATCGTCATTCAATTTTTCAAGCTCAGAAATTCCATACGTATTTGAATTGCGTGTTTTAAGAAAAACATCACTCCTTTACATACTGTAAACAAGTGATCGATGTTATGTTATGCGTCCCGTACGATTTCTCCCCTGAGGTAAAAAATGATTTCGCAGCAGAAGTAGCAATTATATCATTTTATTTTAATAAAACCTCTCATTACAATGAAAAAGCAGCTCATCTTAGAACAGGTCACTGTAGAAAACGTGCAGATTACCAAAACACATGTAACGCCTTTTTAATCACCTATGCTTAAAATTTCTTTATTCTTTACGTGTTTTTTTTTTTTTTTCTTTTTAGGTGGTGCCGTAACCTGTGGCAACAGTCAGTTTATCCCTGATCCTACCAATAAACAATGTTACTACCAGTGTGCTCACAACGTACCCTATCGCACCTGCTGTGCACCGGGAACACACTGGTGTCAGCCACGAATAAATTGCATCTGGGATTGGGACACTTCCTGTTAATGGCGCATGCTCTGACGGTGTGTGAACCCTGCTCCTTGTCCATACCAGTGCATATAACTAATTCACCGGGAAAATGCGTCACCAAATTCTTTTGGGTGAATTTTATTTGTTGGTGACGTTTACCATGACCGATATTATATTTCAGTAACATAGGCGGTAATTCCTAAGGCCTCGTTTGTACAAAACAGGGTCTTAAAAGGACCTTGTTGCAACTTTACACATATACACCGGTGTGAAACAGGGACGAAACTGTGAAAGGATTTTTCTTCATAAAATGTTAGAATGATCCGGAATCATTCTCAATTTTTTAACTGCTCATACCAATCGTAAAACAATCATTTAACAAACAATCGGCATACGTTTTATAACTTTAACATTCTAGTCCTGCCATGACAGATAATCATCATTGTTATCTTATTGAACCTTTTAACCCATTAATAAAGCAATATATCTTACAAATATCATACAGCTATTTTTATTAAATATTCTACTCCTAATTATTTGTTTTAAAAAACAATCTATGTGACATATCTGGAACGTCCTGTAAGATAATATTTAGTCTGGGCGTGCCTTGAGACATCCTGTAGGATAAGAATTGGTCTGGGCGTGCCTTGCGACATCTTGTAGGATAATAATTGGCCTGGACGTGCCTTGGGTTATCCTGTAGGATAATGTTTGATCAGATTGTTTCTTGGGACAGCTGTAGAGCCTAAACCCCATTTTTTTTCTATAAAAGAATTAAGATCTCGTTTCTTCCCATAAATATGAACAGATGAAAAATAGATATTTTTTGCACGACACTTGTCGCATATATGTTAGATAATAAGCATTCATTTAAAAAACTGAAGATAGATCGTTTTGGGGATTACAAACATTGTTAGAAAAAGTGATAACTTTAACATAAACCCAAGTTTGTCTGCTTAACAAAGATACGTCACATTACTCAGCCACCAATTTAATGCCCTTTATACAGATATAATCATGACCTCATTCTTCTTAAATTTTCTTTTCATTCTTTTCTTCTATATACCCTAGGTTCTAGATTTCCGGTATTGCCAGCTCGATCTTGATTTCATATATAACCCATAGTAGCAATACCAGGCTCTAGCGAACAGTGGCAACTCGGGGGCGTTTTTCTTCAAAATTCTGCCTGGGGCGCTTCCATATTTGGAAGTCACACGTCACAGCTGTATCCGCCTGGATCCATATTTGGAAGTCATAAGTCTCGTACGTCACAGGTTTGGCCGCCTGGAGCTGCCTTTCCCGCCTTGCGCTGAAGTCTCGTGCAGGCGAGACAAGAAGCAATTAAAGTGCCTGACGCGGAGTTAGAAGTTTGAAATGAAAATATCTTGCAGTCGACGGTCAGTGCCACAATACAAGCAACATTCTGCTGTAAAAACTTATTTTCGTGTAGCCATTGCGCAGCCCTTGTAGTGGTATCGGGCATACAGTGTAGCTGTCAAATTTGGCACACGGCAAGAGCATGTATTGTGCACGTGTATATCTCAGGACTAAATGTTCTTTGATAAGCAAAAAATACAAAAACATTGGATATATCTTTCCTTTCCGAAGAATATTATTTATTTTTTCACTTTACATCTTAAATACAGCAAATAAAATTAAATAAAGCAGAATTAAATTTGTTTTACGTTTTATTTTGGTCTGATGACATTCAACTGCATTTTCACTGCGGAGCAGTTCTATTTGATTGATGGAAAACTTTCATGGCCGCTGGTCTTCAGAGTTAGTAAAAGCGACTCCACCACAAGGTATATTTAGCAAGCTAGCTTTTACGTTGCTCTGACACTCAGGGTACTTCTGTATGACTTCAGACTCAATAGTAAATTGGATTGTGTGATGACTTACTTTATACGTCATAAACAACATTACGCAAAAAGTAATACGTTTAATTCTTTTTCATTTCCATAAGTTTTAAATAATTTCGGTATGGAATAATAGAAAAATAAGAGAGCGAAGAGTAGAAAAAACTGTGAAAGGCAATGTTTCTGATTAGCTTGCTTCAAACTAAATGACCACAGCATCCAAAATTTACATATGTTTCAAAAAATAAAATAAATAAAAGCGACCAATCAATCATATATACCGAAACTTTTTCGTAACTGTAGGGCATGTATCGCCTCAAATCCATTAGACCGAAGCAATCAAGTTGATTATGACTGTACATAATTCCATCGGAGTACCACAGATAACGGTAGATTTCGTAGACCAGAACATCTGAGCCGTATAAACTGTAATTCATGTACAATAATTGACTTTGCCTGAAGGCATTGTGTTGTCACACATCACAGATCGACCAGGCGCAGGGCCAATTGCATGTTTGCTGAATACGCCATATGTAAATGTTCAGTTTGATCAAATTTTCCCTTCGCAAATATAAATATAATTTTCTTTATTATTTTTGGTTGTATTTGATAAAGCCTTTGCAAGCGCTCAGCGTATCAGATCAAACGGGTATGGGTTGGAGATAATGTACAGTATATATACTCCCTCCCCCCCCCCCCCCCCCCCAGCAAAAAAGTGTTACCTTTAACGCAATGCGTAAAGTGATACAGAAAATAATGCCATGGATCAGTATTCTTTATTCTTTCACAGAAAATACTGGTTGTACAACCAATGAATAAGCTCACGATAGTAAAAAAATTCAAAGCCACATTTTAGTATTTTTGTACAGAATCCCCTGGATTGGAGGACGCAATGATTGCGGTAAGGGTGATACTTTCTGGAGAGGGGAGTGTGTGTGTGTGTACATTAATATTTATATCTTTATCACCCAACATGTACGGGCATATAGGCCTTGGTACAAGTAAATTGAGAATGAAGTTTTTTCATTAATTCAATACCTGTGTCCTTGCCGACGTGCGTCATTATACTTTAGAGTTTGCAAATTAAAAAAAAAATGATGAGAAGATGAAGCAATATAAATGCAAATTTACATGATTTATCTAAAATGCCCCTATTTCGCTGTAAAGCTGATAAGGTAAATTTCCAACTGACTAAACCGTCTTCGGTTAAGTTTAATTTTACGTATACTGTTTTTCACATAAAATTTGTGTGTAACTGTGTACAATCTGCCATGCACCTGAGGCTTGGGCACCCAGACGCCCCCAACCCCCGGCACCGCCCCTGCACTCAACCACCCAATTATAGATAGACCGCGTGCGTGTGCACGTGTTTATCACTATTCACTTACGTCAACAACTGGGTTATCAAATGGTGTGACAGGGGCATATTAGTCCTGATACGGGACATCACACGATTGAGGCTGTCAGTCAAATGTTAACCTAAGTCTAAAGGCGTGGAAAGAATCTTAATTCCTGTTAAAATGCTAAATCAATTAAAGGCTATCGTATTTTCAAGTTCTGACTAAACATTCAGACTAATTTTTGGTGTGAAAATACCCTACGGATCTCTTTTCTCATTTACTGGGATAAATATGTACAATTCCAGAGTCTCCAGATCGGCCATTTTGATGTCAATTAATAGCTAGACTGTTCAGCATGTTTATTACATATGCTGTTTACATAAACTGGTATACCAGTTCGGAGAAGTGGGTGTCTCTGTTCTCTATCTGGTCAACAAACTGGATATTAAAATCAAAACAGTTCAAAGTTTGGTACTGGGGCAAAATCACATGAATGAAGGTATAATCACCTCTTAACTTTTGTCTTAGAATTGTATTAAATATCAGCAAAACGAATTTGGTCTGATTCCGTTCAAGAAACATAAATGCAGAGGTGTCCATTTTGGTATGCAACATAATATTTTTTTTTGTTTCATTACAGAAACGTCATTCCAATTAATAGGATCACTAGTGCCTCATATCTCGGCTTAAAATATCCTGGTCTTTCCATAAAATAATACCTTTTTTGTTTTCTTTCGTTTTTTGAAACTTGCCTTGTGTGTACCATGCTTGGAAGATGCGACAGATAAGAGTAATTGCTTTCCTTGAAGCCCGAGCCTCTCTGGCCCGATCCCCTTACAAACAGCGTGATGGTGCACTTTTAACCATTAATCATTAATCAGGTCATCAAATCGAGTGACTTGGTAGAGTTCTGTCCTGATATGCGTCGTCACGCGCTTGAAGCTGTATCTGTCATCCTACCGGGGATCAAAGTAAGTTTAAAGTAGGTGGAGGAGCGTTTTTTCAAGGGATAAATGAACTCAGAATGCTCTCAGTAAAATATGACAAAATGTTTACGCAAAATAAGCAAAATGTAAACGCCCCATGTGGATTATTTATGCATTAAACTTGTAATTGGCTGGGGGCAGTAATCTGTAGCACATTGAACAACAAAATTAATTTTGTATGATTTAAAATACAACCCATAATGGTCATAAAACATTTTAAGTATTGCGTGGGGCGTTAATTATTTTGCTCATATAGAATGTGGGCAATTCTACGAAAATAAAATATGCTGGGGCCGGTGTAACATGAAAATCTGACTCCCATGAAAATGTGACTCCCCAGTCAGATTTTCATTATGAAAATGTGACTCCCCAGTCAGATTTTCAAAATGAAAATCTGACTCCCCCCATGAAAATTTGACTCCCCCTCCACAAAACTTCATGCATCTTATTTTATTTGAGTATATGACTGTGATCTTGTAGTATGTAAAATGGATGATACGTTGGCACATTTTTTGTAGTTTGCAGTGAAAATTCAAATGAAAAAATAAGAAAAATAAAAAT